TAAGTAAAACGTGCATAACCATGTTGAATGACATTACAGTGGAAGTTCAACCTATTGCACATAATTAAACATTAGTAAAGTGACATCGAGCTCACAGCAGCTTGGTCTGAAAATCCATAAAGGAAAGACAAAGATAATGAGAATAAATTAGGCTAATAGTAATGTGGTTTCTCTTAATGGCACCCCACTCTAAGACATGCAGTCGTACACCTATTTGGGCAGTAATGTAGATAAAGATAGAGGAACTGAAAGAGATATTAAAATAAGAATACAAAAGGCAAGAGGGGCTTTCAAAGCACTAGGGAATAAAGGGGTCACTACACGGCCTTTTTTTTTCTCCAATTTATGACCAAAATATCACTTTTTCAATGTGTTCATTTTGTAATGTTCGGCATTCATATAATAGATTACACACCAAAATTTGTGTCATTGGTAAACAGTTTAGCATTGAAAAGTTAATACTAAAGACACCTACCCATGCACTTTTTTAAGATACAAAAAAGTTTAAAAGTCACTTTTCTAACAATTCTATTTTTCTATTTGTTGTGTGTGGGATCTCCTAAAATCTTAACTAACATAAAGACTAGAGACGTGAAATTTGGTGTAGACACTCCTAACACAATATTATAGGGTCAGGTCTATTTGAAATTACAGTTTATTGAGACATTATAACAAAAAATTTGATTGTTAAATAAAAAAGCTACATTTTTGTATTTTTTCAACATACCAAAATGCTAATATTCTAAACAAAATATTTAAAAACATCTTTGAAGTAAATAAACTAGACCTGACCCTAAACATAAGTTTAAAGTTCATGAATCGATCATCTGTTTTCAAATGCCTCTGTTTGTTTTTGAGATTTTAGCTGTACATGTTATTTTTTCATCAAGATGGCGGCTGTTGCCATGGCAACCAAGTTTTTTTTTTTAACTTGAAGTATACAAATGTATCAACATACATCCCTACGAATGACCATTATAAAATAATTGGTCTAACATTTTAAGTAAACAAATTTTTTTTCCTGTAGTGACCCCAATGTCAAATCAGTACTACTGTATGGGGCGGAAACATGGAAAGCAACTAAGACAATTACTAATAAATTTCAGACATTTATTAACTGGTGCCTGCGCAGAATAGAGGAAATTAAATGGTAACTAATGTAGAGCTTTGGGAGAGAACTAAACAGGCTCCAGTGGACCAAGAGGTGAGGAAAAGACACTGGCGTTGGATAGGACACACACTGAGAAAACAGGAGAACAGAATAACTAGAATGTGTATGCATTGTAACCCACAGGAGTATAGGAATAAAGGAAGGCCACAAAAAAAAAAAAAAAAAAAACACACACACACATGGAGAAGAGAGCTGGAGAACGAGGTTAGAAAGATTGGGAGGACATGGGGAGAGCTCCATGCAATGGCGAAGGATAGAACGACTTGGCGTGAGTTGGTTGAGGGCATGTGTTCCATTGGGAGATAGAAAGGAAGAAGAAGAAGAAGAAAGTGACATCGTAGTGACATTGTGACAAAGTACACAGTAGCCCTACTTGATTAGCTTGCACCAAGAAGTCATCCAAGCTAGGGCATATGTTAATACCATGAAGTCATCCAAGCTAGAGTATATGTTAATACCATGAAGTCATCCAAGCTAGAGTATATGTTAATACCTTGAAGTCATCCAAGCTACAGTATATGTTAATACATTGAAGTCATCCAAGCTAGAGTATATGTTAATACCATTAAGTCATCCAAGCTAGAGTATATGTTAATACCTTGAAGTCATCCAAGCTACAGTATATGTTAATACATTGAAGTCATCCAAGCTACAGTATATGTTAATACATTGAAGTCATCCAAGCTACAGTATATGTTAATACCATGAAGTCATCCAAGCTACAGTATATGTTAATACCATGAAGTCATCCAAGCTACAGTATATGTTAATACATTGAAGTCATCCAAGAAAGAGTATATGTTAATACCATGAAGTCACCCAAGCTACGATGACTTCATGATAGGAACACGTACTGTGGCTTGAATGACTGAAAGACCTAAGTGCGACACGTAATTCTAAGAAGCCGATACATGTAGTTATATTCGCGCTATAAATCTCTTTCTGTTTGTGTGTGTGTGTGTGAACGATCAAAGTGTTACGATAAAGTACTCTAAGCCTAACATTATACTACTATACTGATCACATACAAACCATGAAGGCCTTAAACGCATAGCTCTTGAGATTAGTTGAGGCCACAATGGATAAATGTGTACCTGCTGGCCCAAAGTTATGGGGTTCGAAGCAAGACGACTTCCAATGATTGACAGAGGAAACCATGTCAGCTCGACCAATCGTCAGCACCATGAGGTGTCACGGAAAGTGAGTGTTGCCGGCGTCATGCTTACCACATCATCATATAAAGGTGCTCCGATGGGGGAAGAATCCGGATTTAGATGATGCAAACGTGCTCTTAGGTGGGACACATCCATACATACATACCTCAGAAGTGTTCCTGTATGAATGCTTCAGAAGCGCCCCAAAGGGGAGGTATCGTTACGTAGATGCTGCAACAGCGATCCTATGTGTTAATGGGGGCGGGAGGGGGGCGGATGAGGTGGGGGAAATGTCTGTAACAGCAGTATCAGGAATTGACATAATTTACCGCATGCATGGAAAGCTGTTCAACCTCAGGAGGCTGAAAGCAAAAAGAAAAACTAAACCAGACACCATCAGGGAGCTCCTGTTTGCCGACGATTGTGCCCTTGATGCCAACACAGAAGCGGATATGCAGCACAACATCGACAAATTCAGTGATACCTGTACCAACTTTGGGCTCACCATCAACAAAGATAAAACTGTAGCCATGCACCAGCCAGCCCCAGGGCAAAGATACATCGAGCCCAATATCACAGTGAATGTCTACAGATTAAACGTTGTCAGGAAATTTACTTATCTAGTCAGCACCCTTTCACAGAGCGCTACAATTGATGACGAAGTAAATGCAAGGATCTCTAGGGCTAGCCTTGCCTTTGGCAGACTGTACACAAATGTTGGGAATAGAAGTGGCATAACCCTGTAGACAAAGCCTAAAGTATACAGAGCAGTTGTATTAACTACACTGCTGTTTGCATGTGAAACATGGACTGTATACCAGCGCCAGGCTAGAAAGTTAAACCACTTTCACACAGTTTGCCTTAGAAAACTAATGCAGATCAGATGGCAAGACAAAGTACCTGATACCGTAGTCCTTGAGAAAGCAGCCATGCCCAGCATCCACACTCTACTGATGCAGTATCAAATTCGTTGGGCTGGTCATGTGGCACGCATGCTAGATCACAGGCTCTCCAAATCGAGCAAAAGAAACGTTTTAAGGACACCTTGAAGTCTTCACTCAAAGCATTTGGGATGAATGACACCAATTTGGAGGCTACATCTCAAGACCGAAATGCATGACGTGCAACTCTACACAAGGGCGCGGCTACATGTGAAGCAAACAGAACAGCAAGACTGATAAGGAAAAGGATGAACAGATGGGTGACTGCAGGAGACCCCCTCCCTGGCACAACACTCATTCCATGTTCTCACTGTCCAAGAACTTTTCGGGCCCGCATCGGCCTCATCAGACATCGACATACTCATAATTGATGAAAAAGAGTGGTTGTTATCATCATCATCATAATGGACAACACTCACACATCAGTGTTGAGTTAAAGAGAAGAATATATTGTGACTGTTGTGTGCTGAACTCACTTTGCTATTCATTTGTAGCAGAGGTCAGAGGTTAACGCTAGTCGTAAGGCGCTAAATGATGATGAAGACGAGATGAGTGCAAAAAGTTCACGCTACATGATGCGTGAGACAAAGGTTTCTTGAGATTACGGGGTATTGTATTAGCCTGACCAGCCGCTGAGCTGAAGGTTAACCCGTGTGCAGTCAGTACCTCTCGGTCAGTTTTAGTGTGCGGACGTGCTTGTGCGTGAGTTGTTCCTGTCCGGTGTGTTTTAACAAGGTGTTTTATTCTGCTCATGTGAATTGTCTAAGGGTTTGGTGGATCGTTAGGCGGACTTCTGGAAATTCTGTCAGTAATTGTCTAGAATGGATTTGTATCGGCCGGGTGTTGTGAGGGTTGGCATGTTGCGGCTATGGGACACGTGGTTGACCGGTTTCTATAAGGGCACGGACAGTGCCGGGGACCTTTCGGGTTAACCCACGTGTAGTTGTGATGGGGGAAAATATCGGAGGCTGATTGACAGGAGGTTAGTCAGCTATGTTTCAGGAAGTGAATAGGTAGCAGACTGCGGCGTGGACTTGTTCTTAGCTTTATTTTTTACCGTCTGGTGCATCTACCTTAAACTCTTAGATAGGCTGTACCTTGGAGGGACAGCCGTTAGGGGGTGGTCACTTTAGATCACATAGGTGTATATGCGCGGTCGAGTGGGAGTTGCCCGTGGCAGGCAACTGGGACATAATTCACGAGGGTGTTTTGTCCACGTCTGGAGTGACTTCTTCTTCTTCACTTCCTCTTTTACTTCTGTGGGTGTCGAGAGAGATATCAGGTTCTGTTTCTAGCTGGAGTGAATATTCGGAAAGGCAGTAGAAGAGTTGACAGTGTTCCATCGATCACCACTCATCTTTCTCGTGACGTGTTTCCTGCATAATAAACAGACCGATGCACTATTACAGAGATGTCTTTTAGTGTTTTGGAGTTGACCTTGTGATTCTAGTGTCTGTAGCAGGTTGTCGATTCCAGAACTCTGTGTATGTATGGTCGAAGTATGATCGTTCACCCCAAGACACTTCGCCACAAATGCGATCCACCCTCCCCCCCCCCGGATCACATATAACAGTGACCCCCCCCCCCCCCTTTTCCCCTGACATTATACAAAAGTAACATGGATATTATGGAGACTTTTTACTTTGTTCACCTGAATGTTAAATAAGTATTGTAAATATCCCAACAATGTTCCCATATGCTTGTATAGTAAATATATTGTTATTTTGTCCACAGACTTTTCTGACACTGAGAACTGCGACGTCGAGGAGGGAAGGTACCCCGCGGCCAAGTACCCACCCCGGCGGATCAGCTATGACGTCACCAGACCCTATCGGGAACAAGCGCCACCCTACCGCAGGTCACACTCATTGGCGGAGCTGCAGGCAGAACGAGAAAGGGAGAAGTTGGCGGCCCAACAAGAAGGTGAGAATTCCGCCTCTGATTAATACTCTTGCCTGTGTCCATCATCATCAACATCCCGTGTGTGCCGTTAGACGTCATTTAGGGCTCGTATTCGATTCCCCACGCCTCTCTATTGCAGGCAACTTTCTACATTTCTGACATGGAGTTCAGCCCAGCGATTTTAGCCTCTCATAATAATGTTCTTATGTTTGCCTAAGACGTTCTGTCTGTCTGTCTGTCTGTCTGTCTGTCTGTCTGTCTGTCTGTCTGTCTGTCTGTCTGTCTGTCTGTCTGTCTGTCTGTCTGTCTGTCTGTCTGTCTGTCTGTCTGTCTGTCTGTCTGTCGTCTGTCTGTCTGTCGGTCGGTCGGTCGGTCTGTCTGTCTGTCTGTCTGTCTGTCTGTCTGTCTGTCTGTCTGTCTGTCTGTCTGTCTGTCTGTCTGTCTGTCTGTCTGTCTGTCTGTCTGTCTGTCTGTCTGTCTGTCTCGCTCTCTCGCTCTCTCTCTCTGTCTCTCTCTCTCTCTCGGAGAGTCTGTTTTCAATTTCAGTGTTTGTTGTGCAATTCTTTGCTTATTTCGTCTCAGAGTGTGCCCAATATATCTCAACCTTTTCTTGTCTTATTGCAGTCGATACAGGTATTTGAACATTTTCGAATCTCCTTAGTCTTTTAGAATTCATCTCATTTTTCTCAGACATAAATTTTTCAATGTATTCAACTTCCGGCTCAAATCTCTGGAAGTTCGTCAACTTTGGCTGGCGTATGTTGGAACTGAAATAATGTTACAATTGAAATAATGTTACAACTGAAATAACGTTGCAACAGAAATAATGTTACAACTGAAATAACATTGCAACTGAAATAATGTTACAACTGAAATAACGTTGCAACTGAAATAATGTTACAACTGAAATAACGTTGCAACTGAAATAATGTTACAACTAAAGATGTGTTTTTTGGACTTCACGCTGTATAACTTTGAGCTGCATATTTTGTTGAGGCTTTTAAAGACTGTTCTTGCTTTGCCGATGAATATCATGATTTCCTTCCCTGTATGTTCTTGAGAGTCCAACAAATATCACGTCACACACTTATATGGCGGGAATATCTGTAAGAAATTTAAATTACCATATACCCCAAAACATTAGCGTAAGTGCTGATGGTCTCAGGGCATGACGTTTGCCTCGAGTGCTGGAGATCTCGGGGTCAAGCCTCAGGGAAGGCTGGGAATTTTTCACGTGGACTTCTAGTAATTTTCCCCTGGTCTCTGGGTAGTAAAACCGTGTGCATTGCTGCGAACTTAGAAACTGCCGCAGCAGTTGGAAATCGAAAAGAGTAACCTAACAGTGCTGCCCCGGGTAAATAATGGAATTAAAAGTCTACCCAAAGTATTTTCACGATCCTGGCCTTTGCTACGGAGTTCGCGCATTGTGCTGAGAGCGTCGAACTTCGGTTTGAACAACAGAACAACATCATGGCACACAGGTAGTAGCCCATAAGTGCTCAGTTTTTCTTCTAACTCAAGTCTGAGTCCAAAGAAGCTTAGCACTGTGCACAGGTTCTATAGCACCGGTGGATTGTGGATACTTTGGGTAGAATTTTAACTTCAAATTTAGCCCGGGCAGCGCCGATGGGCTACTCCTTTCGAGTTCCAACTGCTAAGGGATCAAGCGTCCGATATCACTACTCAGAGACTAGGGGATATTTCTAGAAGTCCAAGTCCACGTGAACAAATTCCAGCTCTTACTGAGGATTGAACCCGGAATCTCTAGCACACGAGGCGGACACCATGCCTCGAGACCAGGCAGGAACCCTGTTTCCGGACTCCGGTTTGAGTTAGAAGTAGAACGGATCACTTATGGGTTACTATCCTTGTCCTATGATGTTGATCTGTTGTTTAAACCCAAACCATAAGTGTCCATGTTTGGACAATATCACCCAGTAAGACACCATAACATGCTTGTGCCCATGTTCTCCAACAACAATCTACAGGACGGACAAAAACCACATACAATCTTGCATATATGTGCATCTTAACTCGATTAATTGGCACCGTGTCTCCTCAATTTATACATCCTCTGGGAAATCAATAATTATTGCACTCAAATTATTTGACTGTAAATCGTAGCCTCATTGTGGCATTGACACACATTGGCATACAAATGTTCAAATAACGCCAGAGAGGGAGTTGGTGTGAAGAGACAATATCGCTAACACAAATCAGGAAGCAAAATTAGTGTTTGAAAGAAGGTCAAACGAATCTGGTATAGCTTTGCCCCGATACCCTGCTCTCACAGACTGCAGTTTCGATTTTGAGGATGATAGTTGTTCATCACAGTCTCCTTTGTTCTAGTTATAATTTGTTTTAAGATTTGCTCTAAAAAACACGAATACGAATGTCTATAAGGCGAAAACAAACCATTCTAGCACTGTGGAGGGGACTGACTGCATACAATTCTAAGCAAGGTAGAGTGGAAGAGTTGACTAAGTCATTCTAGGCAAGGTAGAGTGGAAGAGTTGACTAAGTCATTCTAAGCAAGGTAGAGTGGAAGAGTTGACTGTAGTCATTCTAGGCAAGGTAGAGTGGAAGAGTTGACTAAGTCATTCTAGGCAAGGTAGAGTGGAAGAGTTGACTGTAAGTCATTCTAGGCAAGGTAGAGTGGAAGAGTTGACTAAGTCATTCTAAGCAAGGTAGAGTGGAAGAGTTGACTGAAGTCATTCTAGGCAAGGTAGAATGGAAGAGTTGAGTAGAAGAGTTGACAGTAAATCATTCTAGGCAAGGTAGAGTGGAAGAGTTGACTGCAAGCCATGCCAGGCAAGGTGGAGTATACGAGTTTACAAACCATTCTTTTCAAGAGAGGAATGGGTGGGGATTTACTTTAAATCATTCTACAACGAGACATTCAATACGAACCATTCTTAGCAAATCTTTCTGGGTAGAGACACCTGCTGCAGACCATTCTAGCTCCCCCCCCACACACACACACACCCACCCACACACGCACACACGCACACACACACACACACACACGCACACACACACACGCACGCACACACACACTCGCACACACACACACGCACCCACACACACCCACACACACACACACGCACACACACGCACACACACGCACGCACGCACACACACACACACTCGCACACGCACACACACGCACGCACGCGAAAAAAAAGGAGAAAGCTTGCTGCAAACAATTCTAGTTTGGAGAGGGAGGTGACTCTCCATGGCACAGCTAACACCGAACGGTCTATAACATATAGATTAGCACCATAGACCCTGAAGTATAGTTTTATGTATTGCACACAACAAGACTCAATAGGCCTGAAGAAGTAGAAAAGATTCCTTTAAGAACTTCAATTTTAATTCAACCCGACAGCTATAATTAGGGTGATTATTTTGAACACAGCTTATGGTTAAGGTTTAGGGTTAGGGTTTAGGTTTAGGGTTAGGATTTAGGTTTAGGGTTAGGATTTAGGTTTAGGATTAGTATTTAGGGTTAGGTTTAGAGTTAGTGTTATTATTAGGGTTGTGGGTTATAAAGAAAGCACTTTGATGTCCAGTTTTGTATTTGGACTATTCTGGGAACTCACGGATTTCATTTGTTTGGGGTGAAGTAAAATAGAAGTACCATCCTTTAATTATGCGGAACAAAACTCAGCATACACCTCAAATGGATACACAGAACAATGTTTTTGGACGGCTTGTAAAGCTGGAAGCAAGTAATACAATAATGATATCAGCAACATAACTGTATCAAAAGAGATAAAGACCCTTTGCTAAACACGACACAACACTTGCATGTTGCAAGTGGTAATCAATATCTTTATAATACACGCCACGTTTAATCATCCATAGAATACATCATCTACTCAATGTGATGTTTAACAATAATCCTTCTCTTTTTCTCGCTCCCAACTGTCCATCAATCTTTCTTCTGAATCTATGAATTGTCGACAACACAACAATTGCCATTCTGTGCTTTGATCCTGCTTTCATCTCTAATGCAATCTCCAGATTATACATCTTCAAGTTCTTCTCTCCATCTATTATTTCATGAATCCATTCATTACTGTCGGAAATGCACTTAACTCCAACTGTTCTCCCATCGAAGGACCAGGTCGACCGCCTGTCGGTTCCCGGGCTACAGAACGCCGGTCGACGTTGTCAAGTCTGGTATTCAGCAGTCTAGCAGCTTTGGATCAGACCGGAAACGCTGTCATACCGCCCTATGTCAAGAAGAAACATAAGGTGCGTATTAATTTGTTCATCTACCGTGTTGTCTTAGTTCATCTGCTGTCTTTGTTCGTCTATTGTCTTGTTGATGCTTATCTATTGTCTTCTTTTCATTCATCTACTGCCTTGTCGCTGTCCTTGTTATCGGCTGTTTTTGTTGCCTGGTGTTGTTTTTTCGACCTAATTACTCATTCTACGTGTTCCCCCTTCGTTATATTTGAAGACGTAGATGCAGCCATGATTTTATATTAATTTTTACGCTTGGCCTTGATATAGTATATTTTTTTTCCCAATATAAATCATCGACATCAACCACGGATTTAAAAAAAAAAAAATTCCTTCGGGTTTATTAACTTCTGTTTGGATTTCTTTGTTTGGTCTTTTATCTGATTTTGTTTTTCTTTTTGGTGTCAGTGTTTTATTTGTTTGCTCTAGTCAGTTACACTCAACTGTTGACTTTTTCGACCGTCTACCTGCCCCGATTCTATGTTACTTCTATCGTCTTTGAAAAAAAAAAAAAAATGCTGTTATTTATTTTAGCGCCTCTCACATTCCTTGTCGATTTGTTGATTTGTGCGTTTGCTTTTATTTGTATTGAACTTTATTAAAGCTTTACTTTGTTTTTTGGTGACTGATGTTTGATTATTTAGCATCTCTGGAAATTCTTTGTGTAGAATAAAGCAATACTAATTATGTTTATTTACGTAATTAACATCTTGTTTTACAATACATTTATATATCAAAGCGGTGTGATCAAAGGAAACGCCTCCAAAATGCGTTATCAGAAATATATAAAGGGTAAATTAGCAAGAGTGGCAGAATTGAGTTAAACAATTACTAGAAAACAACACGCACCCGGATTTTCTCAGTGCAGACCATCATATGCGTTTAGACATACAAGTCATGGCTTGGGTAAATAATGGAAGAAATTAGAGTTCAGACACACATGTCATGGCTTGTGTAGATAATGGAAGAAATTAGAGTTCAGACATACAAGTCATGGCTTGGGTAAATAATGGAATAAATTAGAGTTCAGACACACAAGTCATGGCTTGTGTAGATAATGGAAGAAATTAGAGTTCAGACACACATGTCATGGCTTGTGTAGATAATGGAAGAAATTAGAGTTCAGACACACATGTCATGGCTTGTGTAGATAATGGAAGAAATTAGAGTTCAGACACACATGTCATGGCTTGTGTAGATAATGGAAGAAATTAGAGTTCAGACACACAAGTCATGGCTTGTGTAGATAATGGAAGAAATTAGAGTTCAGACACACATGTCATGGCTTGTGTAGATAATGGAAGAAATTAGAGTTCAGACACACATGTCATGGCTTGTGTAGATAATGGAAGAAATTAGAGTTCAGACACACATGACATGGCTTGTGTAGATAATGGAAGAAATTAGAGTTCAGACACACAAGTCATGGCTTGTGTAGATAATGGAAGAAATTAGAGTTCAGACACACATGACATGGCTTGTGTAGATAATGGAAGAAATTAGAGTTCAGACATACAAGTCATGGCTTGTGTAGATAATGGAAGAAATTAGAGTTCAGACACACATGTCATGGCTTGTGTAGATAATGGAAGAAATTAGAGTTCAGACATACAAGTCATGGCTTGTGTAGATAATGGAAGAAATTAGAGTTCAGACACACATGTCATGGCTTGTGTAGATAATGGAAGAAATTAGAGTTCAGACATACAAGTCATGGCTTGTGTAGATAATGGAAGAAATTAGAGTTCAGACACACATGTCATGGCTTGTGTAGATAATGGAAGAAATTAGAGTTCAGACATACAAGTCATGGCTTGTGTAGATAATGGAAGAAATTAGAGTTCAGACACACATGTCATGGCTTGTGTAGATAATGGAAGAAATTAGAGTTCAGACATACAAGTCATGGCTTGTGTAGATAATGGAAGAAATTAGAGTTCAGACACACATGTCATGGCTTGTGTAGCTAATGGAAGAAATTAGAGTTCAGACACACATGTCATGGCTTGTGTAGATAATGGAAGAAATTAGAGTTCAGACACACATGACATGGCTTGTGTAGATAATGGAAGAAATTAGAGTTCAGACACACATGACATGGCTAGGTAAATAATGGGATATATTAGACTTTAGACACACATGACATGGCTTGGGTAGATAATGGGGGATATTAGATTTCAGACACACATGACATGGCTTGTGTAGATAATGGAAGATATTAGAGTTTAGATACACATGACATGGCTTGTGTAGATGATGGAAGATATTAGAGTTCAGACACACATGACATGGCTTGTGTAGATGATGGAAGATATTAGAGTTCAGACACACATGACATGGCTTGTGTAGATAATGGAAAATATTAGAGTTTAGACACACATGACATGGCTTGCGTAGATGGTGGGTGATGCTTTTGCTTGTTAGACTAGTGTCTGTATGGAATAGTCATCTACTTAGAGCCCCATCCCCCCCCCCCCCATTTTATTTACCCTTCCCCAATATCAGAACAAATGAACATCAGATGCCATTATGTGGAAACTAGGAACCGCCACTCTAATACGTGGTAACACTTCCTGCCCCGTGTTAGCGACACACAGGAGAGCATTCAAGTTCTTCAAGGACACTATCGGTCATCTCACTCACTAATCAGTGGAAGCGTGTCTAAATGGCCTACAAGTTTGCTTCTGATGACCTCTTCTTTGTGTTGGCTTTTCGACAGTTACTGTGTGTAACTGAGTGAGTCTCGTTTATACCTACATTCTTTCTTGGTCGGAAACCCGAGTTGCGTGCACTGTGGTAAAAGCTTTCTGTGTATATTCCGCAAAGTCTTGTCTTTACAACATTGCAAACAAAGGCAGCCACTTTCAATGGAGTGAAAGGGAAAAAAATGAGAAAAAATTATTCAGTGCTTTTCTGTGAAAATCAAATCATGAAACTTCATTTTGGTGCAGTTAACAGTCTGCTGTTGTTGTTGTCATCTTGTTATCTGTGTTGTATTTCTGATGTTATCAGAACCTAACGCAGTGGATAACGAGCACACCGGCTTGTGGCCAGTCACCCGATGCAGCAGACAACCCAAAGTTGCTCAACCCCTTGATTTCATTCACATTTCTCCTCTCTTGACTTTAAAGACTGCCGCGACATGAGTGGCGTATCTTCACTGCCAGGTCATGTAATAGGTTTAGCGTCAGATAGTCATCACCCGGAGTCTGTACTCTGTGAACCAACAGGGTTATAAATTGAGGCATGCTAACAAAGACTTGGAGGAGGCAACTAGATAATTACAGTGATCGGGTAAGCTGCAAGGGATAGCAACAGATAGCTCGACTTTGCATGAGTGAGGGCCTATGACCTACTAGAGGATGAAAGGTAAATGGCAGTGAAGTGTGTTCAAGGTGGCTCTATCAGTGCAGCTCTTGCGTCGTCATGTTTGAATAAGTGCATTACTAGCTAGCTGATAATACGTTTAGTATTTGAACCATGGAATCAAAGGCACAGTTAACGTCTACTTTTTGTTCGCAACATTAGACACAATGTCACAGACAACACTTCATGCCAAACAAATAATTGTAATCAACAAAGAAGTCATTGAAAATACGAATACATTGGCTCCAAAATTAACAACACATGGTAATGTTTAAAACACGTAAATGCGAGACTGGTTGTAGAACGTAGTGGTTGAAAAGCATTAAAAGCCTCTTGTTCTAACAGACACATTAAAGTTAACAGTGTGACTACGTGCCTCTTTCTTTGCAACATTCCTATGCTATTCATGGGGTATTTCTTAATCACTTGAAGACATTTGAAACTTTTGAACTCAAATTTTACTTCAAGTTTTTAAAATAGCTAGAAGGGTACTTGAAAGTATTCTTGTGTGGGTTTCATCGCCCCTCAAGCATGTCGCAAACGACAACTAATTATTATTTTGCTGAAATCAAATGCGCTGGGCCGTTTGCCGCATATATTTTAGCTTAGCTGTAAACCAAACGCAACGTGCCAACCGCTACTTTGAGAACTAACACAGTAGAAGTCAGGAGTGGCAAGGATCGACTATTACTTCTGTAGGCACCAAACATAAACACTCTGAGATGATGATGATCAATGAAGCTGTGGAAAATTGAAGATTGAGAGCTGCATCTGCGGGTTCCGGTAGTGAGGACGTTCGACACAAGAACGGCTAAATGACTGTGGTAAGGACGTTCGACACAAGAACGGCTAAATGACTGTGGTGAGGACGTTTGACAAAAGAAGTGCTAAATGACTGTGGTAAGTCTAACAATAGTCAGTGAGTGTGAACTGCTAGCAATGTATCTCGGGCAACTTTTGATTTGGTGAGTGAATGACTTGATAGGACGCAAGTTCTCTATGAATTAGTACGCAGTTAGTAATTTGGCAGTTCTGTTGAAATGTATTTCAAAGCTGAGTAGGTGAAAGAAGAAATATTGAATGTTGTATTACGAATCGACATCACAGCACTCGGGACATATTTATAAGTGCCCCTTCCCTATCTTCAGCAGCTCCCATTTTCAGCAGCAAGCGCAGAGTTCCAGTTCAAAGGGAAACAGTAATAGTCTGGTCGTATATCTGACTCGCGTTTCCCTGGAGTGATGAGCTTTGGCGGGATCCTCTGGTAACTCCTCGCAGCGCCAGTCTCCTCAGTCTGTGAGGATCAATTGTGCCTCTGCACTGTTCACTCTCAAGATTACTAGATTACTGTTCACTCTCAAGATTACTAGATTACTGTTCACTCTCAAGATTACTAGATTACTGTTCACTCTCAAGATTACTAGATTATTGTTCACTCTCAAGATTACTAGATTACTGTTCACTCTCAAGATTACTAGATTACTGTTCACTCTCAAGATTACTAGATTACTGTTCACTCTCAAGATTACTAGATTACTGTTCACTCTCAAGATAACTAGATTACTGTTCACTCTCAAGATTACTAGATTACTGTTCACTCTCAAGATTACTAGATTACTGTTCACTCTCAAGATTACTAGATT